GAGGTGGTTTCACCTTGGGTGCCGGTTCCGGCTCGATGACGCATGCCCTGAGGTCGAAATTCTCCGACCTCGCAAGACCCGCGCAGTAGGAACGGAAAACGTCCTCGACTTCACGAGCCAGGAACTCAGGATGGTCCTCTGCCTTGAGGGGAGTCCTCCATGCATCGTATCCACCGAACAGGTTTCTGCCTAAACGATACCCTCTAAAGAGAGAGCTTGGCCTGCTCTGCAAAGGAGAGTGCTCTGCAAAGAAGCGTGCTCTGCAAAGGAGAGTGCTCTGCAAAGGAGAGTGCTCTGCAAAGAGGAGCGTGCTCTGCAAAGGAGAGTGCTCTGCGCTCTGCAAAGGAGCGTCTGCAGAGTGCTCTGCAAAGGAGCGTGCTCTGCAAAGGAGAGTGCTCTGCAAAGGAAGCTCTGCAAAGGAGCGTGCTCTGCAGCGTGCTCTGCAGAAGGAGGAGTGCTCTGCAAAGAAGCGTGCTCTGCAAAGGAGAGTGCTCTGCAAAGGAGAGTCCTCTGCAAAGAAGCGTGCTCTGCAAAGGAGCGTGCTCTGCAAAGGAGAGTGCTCTGCAAAGAAGCGTGCTGTGCAGAGGAGAGTGCTCTGCAAAGAAGCGTGCTCTGCAAAGGAGAGTCCTCTGCAAAGAAGCGTGCTCTGCAAAGGAGCGTGCTCTGCAAAGAAGCGTGCTCTGTCTTCACCGCGCCCGAAGCTGACTCACCGAAGCTGACTCACCGAAGCTGACTCACCGAAGCTGACTCTGGCACTTATGTTTTCGAGCATCACATTCCTGCCCGGCATCAGAGGCTTCGATACCTAGCGCGCCACATTCCTGCCGCGCCACCTGCCTGGCATAGAAGCCTCCCGGCCGCGCCACCTGCCTGGCATAGAAGCCTCCCACCTGGCCGCTTCGAAAACTTTAGTGCCACTAAAGTTTTCGAGCATCACATTCCTGCCCGGCATCGGAGGCTTCGATACCTAGCGCGCCACATTCCTGCCGCGCCTGCCTGGCATAGAAGCCTCCCGGCCGCGCCTGCCCGGCATAGACGCCAGCGTACGCGCCGCGCGCATTCTTGTTTCGCATGATTTTGCATGGTTTTTGACATGGTTTTTGCATGGGTTTTGCATGGTGCGGTTGCATGACATGATTTTGACATGACTTGTTTTTGCATGACATGATTTTGAACATGTCATTTTGACATGTTGGTTTTTTGCACGGTTTTGCATGTTTGCATGTGCATGTGGTTCAAGCCCTAATGCCCCCCCTCCCCCCCCCCGATTTTTTCCTGTCAGGTGTACATCCTGGAGAACTTCGCGGCGGGAGGCGGGGCGGCGCCGAGCGGGCACCTAGGTAAACGTGCCGAGCAGGCACTAGACGTGCCGAGCAGGCACAGTGCCGAGCAGGCACAGGCACCCCGGTGCCGAGCTGGCACCGTGGGGGTGCCAGTGCCGTGCCGAGCAGGCACTTGCAGTGCCGAGCAGGCACTTGGCACTATGGCGCCGAGCGGGCGCCGTAAGAGTACGAGCCCAACCCGACATAGCGGTTGGCTGCCCGAAGAACGTTGCAAAACCTTTCAACCTTTTCGGTTGCCGCGACGGCCGCAGCCATCTGAGGGTGAATATACCCTGTTTCGGCCATGCATTGTGCGGCTTCTCGCAAACACGATCGCGCACGCCACAGGTTCGCGGCCGCTTTGTAAAAAGTGCAGTACTCGACGTTCCACGTTGCGTCCTGCGCGTAGACTTCGTCATCCCCGAATTGGGAATCGGGCATGGTGAACCCCAAACGGATCTCCCGGCCGCGGATTACGTCGGCCGAGATCTGGTTCGAATTGGACTGATCATCCGGAGAAGGACGGGGAACGTCCGAACTGATGCACGGCTCGTTCGCTACTTCCCTATTGGGGCAGCCTTTCGGCCTGCATCTGGCGACTAGGACGCTGCAGCAGGCTCAGGCGCGCGACCCCAGCATCTCCAGAAAGGAAGTGAAGGCGTTTCTGGACGGCCTTCGGGTGAACCAGGACCGGCCACAGAAAGGCTACAACAGCTTCGTGCCTCTGGAGCCCATGAACCAGCTGCAGGTGGACCTGGCCGACATGAAGGCCTTCGGGGGCAAGCCCTACCCCTTCATGCTGGTGGCCATCGATGCGCTGACCAAAAAAGTGGGCGCGGAGCCGCTGAAGGACCGTCTTGCGACCACCACCGCGGCGGGCATGAAGAAGGTGTTCCAAGCCCTGGGGGTGCCGGCCAACGTGTACTCCGACGACGGCTCGCTTACTTCGCAGAGCGCACCATCCGCGCCATCAAGGAGGCCATGTTGCGTCGCATAGCAGCCGGAGCGGAGGCATCTGCACTCTCGGCAGCTGCAAAATATTCCGATGGGTCATCGCCGCCCAGCGGCCCGTCGGCTGGAGATGTAGGAGCGTCGTCCTTCGTCCTCCACCCCACCACCGTTTCCATCATTGTTGCCTCCCCCAGCGCCTTGGCTGGGTGACGCGCTTTTGACCCCACCTGCATCCACAGGCGCAGACTGCGTGTCCTCACCCGCAGGATTGAACACTTCAGGGTGAGATGCCACCCCCATCGACGCATCGGTCGACAGGGATGGGGTGTTATCCTCCAGCTGGGGATTGTCCTCGCCGGTAACTCCTGGAACATGGGCCAGCCGGAGCGCTCTTAATAGCTCTCGGCGGCGGAACCTCGGGCCGAGGGTGCGTGATTCCACTGTCCACGGGATTGCACCCTCCTGTGCCCCCAGTGTTGACAGCACCAGCACCTGCCGCCTTGGGCACCGGCATACTCGCGACCCTAGGTGCCTCGACCTTGGGTAGCCGGAACTACGCTCTTTGGCGGAGGGCCAGTGGGCAAGGACTGGTACCGGTCCTCCCACTTTAGGCAGCACACCACCGGCATGCTTGGTGGTCCCACCACCCCATCTGTTGGCGGCTTCGCGCCCTGATAGGGTTGGGAAATCATCATTGTATGCTTCTTTGGGAAGCTCTGGGGGTTTGGGCTTAGCAGATTCTATCGGAACATTAGTTCCGTCCATGTTGTCCAAGGCGGAAAGGGAAGCCTGATTGGGCGTAGGGCGAAAATTGTACATTCGAACCATTCGACCACTAAATTCCTCCTGGAATGCCTCGATCCCATCAAACACATTAATTAGTGTGTCCGCGTTTAGCGGATCCCTACCAATGATCGACGCTGGATCACCTGAGCGACCACGTCCTGAGTCCCGCGTACTGGGGTTTCCCCTGTGAGCAGTTTCCCGATCCATCCCTCTCGCCCTGTGCGAGCCAGTCGAATTTGACCTAGACCGCTTGCTCGGGGTAGGACTGGGATGCAAATCCAATCTATCTACAATGTTTCGCTCCCTAGGACTCTCAAATCCTGAAAGTCCTGGGGGAGGGGACATGTTCCTCATGGTCGGGTTTACCGACGGCCTTGGCCTGACATTACGGCTGGCTACATCAGGATTGAGATTCTCAATCGACAAAGGAAGCATGAATTCATCGCTTCCAGCAGCCCGTTTCGGGCTTTGGAACTGCGGGAAAGACGACGGGGCGGGTGGCCCTGGCATCAATGCGGCGAAATCCATGCCAAAAATGTTTCCGTCGTTGGGCCATGAGGCACTCCAATCCAGCCTACCGAGTTCGGTGGGCATATGAACATCAAACGCAACTCCACTGCATGCACCAGGTTCGGGATTACCGAGCGCTTGGAAAGCTATGCTACTGGTTGGCACAGGTCTACTGCTGCTTCGAGAGTCATGAACCTCGGACTGACCAATATTCATCAGCTCGGGGAAAGATGAGGATTGAGCTCCAGGTGCAATACCGGGCTCGTCATCATCACGTCCTGAGACGGAATCATCATGGTCAGGACGATTAGCCCCACGACCCTGAGAGCGATTAGCTCTCGAGGCATTAGACGATAGATCATCAGTGCGAGTAGCACTGGACACCTCTCTGAAGGCATTGCTTCGGAAAAAGTATGATCCGACAAAAAGTCAGGACCGGAAAAAGTCGGCTGTCCGGGCACCTGGCCGTCATTCACAACGTCCAAGATTCCGGCCTGGCCGAGAACCCACTCATCGGTCACCACATGAGGTCCATCCTCAGCGATTTCCGCCATGAGACAGACCTACAGTAACCTATGGAAAACGGCGCCTGCAGGGTTGTTATTAAAAAGGGGTTCGCGGTGCCAACCGAGGACGAATCCTACGGCTGATAACCTGCGAAAGGGTTTGAAACAATATTTCGGTAGAGAATAAACAGGCCCAATCCCACCAACAAGAAGAGATTGTTTAAGTCCCCCAGTCCCAAGGGCAAAGCGGTGCCCCCGGCTGGCACAAACAACGAACCAAAACAGGGTGCCTTTCACCAAAAGATGAATGAACCCAGCAAGGGCAGAGACAACCGAAAGCAAGCACAAAGCAGCAAACCAAGCAGGCAAACAATGCAAAGCGCAGCGAACGAGCAAAGCAAACCAATGCGGACACCACCAAACACACACACACACACACACACACACACACACACACACACACACACACACACACACACACACACACACACACACCGACCCACAACCAGAAGACGTGCCTACCGCCGCGGACCTCGGCCTGTCCTTTTCCAGGGGCAGGACGAGTAGCAGCGCCGCAAGCAACCACTGCCGTTATGGCGGCGCGGTTCGCCGTGGTAAAAGCTTGAGCCAAACAGCGCGTTGGCTGTGGCGTTGAAACACATGTTGCGATAAACGTACATGCTCCCAAAAACAGTTTTGAAAGGAAACTAATGGAAAACACCGATTTCGGAGGCTTCCGCATGAATCTGGCAGATCAATCCGGGATGCTCCGCCAAAAAAGCCCCTAAAGTGCGACACGCCGTCTATATCAACCAAGCAGGTTGTCAAAATCTTGGGTTTTGCCCTTGTCTTTTGATATTTGGTGGCTTTAAGACTATTGCCCTGATCTCCCAACAAGTGTGACTCTTTGAGCCGGGCTCCGAGCGGTGCATTCATCACCATGACCTGTCCCATGTTGACCTTGGCAAGGCACGTCATGTTGCGCCCCTGCTTCCTCCACGCTGCAGGAACGCAGGACAGGAAGTACGTAGAGATCCCACCGACCTGCGACCTATAGGCATCCAAAACGGCCCCAAACTGAGCAACGTTGACGGATGCCTTACATATTGCCACTTCAAGTTTGCTCCAAAGCACAATGCCCAGGCCAAGCAGCTGTCGGCCGAGCCGTCATTGATGGGGTCCTGAACTCATTCATAGGTCTGCTGAATATCAATGCATTTCCAAAACTATACAACCTGACAGCAAACTGTCCGAAAAATCAAAGACCAGGACACGCTGTCAACTCTGCAGTGAAAATATGGCCTGGTTGCAAGGGTAGTTTCCCCACAGAGAGCCCCAATAAGAAGCTTGGTCCGCCCTTAATCTTCTGGGAAGATCCTCAACAAACGTGGGCAGGAAACGGACTCCCAAGACTGTTGTGCTGCTGGTTTCCTCCAGAATGCCACCCAAAAAGAGTCCATTCCCAAGGTTGAATACACCCCCCATGGGGCAATGGAACGTGAGGCTGGGATATTGGGGAAAGGACCCGATTTGGTTGCGTCCATACGGGAAAACAAACAGCAGCACCTATGTTTCGAGTCCAGAATCGGGGTACAAACCACCCCTGAGGGTAAGTCCACCTTGCGGATATTAAAAAATGGAATGTTTACATGTGTCAGGAATCCAAACAAAAGCGCCATATCCGCGGAACTCGCACGCCTCATGTACATGACAGGCGCAGGCGACACCGATCGCGGCCTCACATCGATCGACTTCCGGTCTTGATTTGCTATAGGCTGAATCGTAAGAACTTGCGCGTTGGCTCACGACTAATTGAGCCAACATGGAAACCCGAAATAGCCGGGCAAGTTCACCTGGGTTGAACAGCCCTCATGATCAATGTCACTCATGTGTGTCTCAATTGAGGTTGAAGAACTCTAATTCGTGCGAATGAGTCGTCTTCAGCCATTAAGCCCCTTGCCGGGTCATGCCAATCGGCGCCTGCAGCATCAGTATCGCCACCCGTTTGCCTTGCAAAGGTCACGAAGGTGATTGGAACCCACTAGAAACCGGCAGAATCCATGTTATGACCCCAACTGGCCTAGCAGAGCACTTGGAAATACAGAAATTGGGGGACTCATAGAGAAATTTGAGTTTGAGTTCTCATAAGAAATTAGAGGAAAGCAGCCCTGCTTCACCGGGCCCCAGTTTTGGAATCACCCATCTGCACCAAAACCCATGCGGAGCAGCCTGCCTTGCCGGCAAAGTACAGGAAACGCCCGGATGTACAAAACAAGTTTGTGGTGTTTCCAGATCACAACACAACCTGGATAGCACTAGATGGCTAATGATGTACTTTCTTGTCGGCATGTTTCGATTGTGCAGAAACTGTCATAGCCCGCATCCACTCTGTGACATCATACTTAATCCTTGCTGGCAACGTCTGGTTCAGCCAAAAACTCATCAAATACAAATCGAGCATTGCGAGCGCCTCCTTCAAACTCGTCTACATGTATGTAATCAGGGCCATGGGGCGATATGCGTGTTACGCTGGAGTGGGGCATGCAGATGGCCATAACAATCCTGGACACTCCTTTCCTATCACAGCCACCCCAAAGCCCAGATTTCCCCACCCCGATAGAATTTGTGCTCAATTGCCACTGCATGAGCTCTCCAAATATCCTCACGCTTATTGTTCACAACGAACGAAAGGGACAATAAGATCTCCAAGCAATGCTTCACACGAATGTCCAATGCTCCCAATCAAGCACGGGTAGCTTGGCCGCCCATTTCCAAGAAAATCAACAATTGTATGCACGGCTGAACAATGAATGCCAACGATGTGTTGCGTGATGTTTGTGTTTGGTGGGATTCTTGCGCCCCCACATGAAAAAATGTGGGCTGATGCAAGCTATAACAAATGGATTAGCCTCCGATGCATTGACAAATTTTGAAACGTGCACCAAACATAAATACGCGATGCTTTCCCAGCTGGGAAATGCATGGAAAATTATGTGGTCGCGACTGAAGTCTTGCGAAAAACCAAACAGAAACTAACTCAACGCAAGCTAGTTGTGTGCAATGTTACGCGGGCGATTTGTATTTCTTTTTGCGCCTCGCAACCAACGACAGTCCGCGATGTACAACGGTGACAAAGACAACGAAAACGCCACTACTCCCGACTCCCAATCCAGTAGCCGACAGCAAGATAAAACCAGGGGGGGCCCAAGAAACAGAAGCACCGCCACAGGAAAAGGGGTCCCAACGACCAAAAATCAGCTACCGGGCAGAGTTCGAGCCAAGCGGCCAGACCGCAAGCGCTGCTGTTGCGTTAACTTTGCCCCATAGCCACACAAGCCGGACCAACAACTTGGCCAGCATCGGCGAGGAGCCGAAAAAGACGGTCAAAACCATGGGCATCCGCGGGTTGCGCTCACGTACTCCGCGCGTGGCAATGGCAAAAAGCGCTTGCGGCAACAGCGATCAGGAAGCAAGACGGAAGAGAGGCGGAAGCAACACAATCAATTGGAGAAAGCAGGAACGAGAGGGCCACAAGCAGCGTCTCCGCCTCTTGCACAAATCTTGGAAGTGTTCAGCGCAAGGAAAGACTCCTTTTCTATCTTTTTGTCAGGCTTAAGATTGCAGTCCATTGCGTCCGACAGGCAACGCCCTGCAAAAGCCGCTTGCGAGTTTATAAATTTAAGCAACAAAAGAGTTGCCACCCCTTAACAGCAAAACCGAACAGCCCAGGTTCAAGCCGCAGTCTAGCTCTATCAGGCGGGCTTCAGTTTTTGCTCAGGCTTTGCCTGCCACAAATTATGACTGGCTGGCTCTCTTGATGCGTATGATCATGGTAGGGTTTTCTGGCGCACGAAGGCTGCACAGTCTGGTGTCAAGTAGTGGGTCTTCCGACGAGAAGCGGAAGTATTCCATGACGTCCATGACGGCTCAGCTCTGTTGCTATTATCGGATCATGGCAAGGGCTGTGTCTGGTCCTTTTTCTTTTTTCCCACGCACAACCGCCGGTCAGTCTGAAAAACAAACCGCTGCAAACCAGGAAGCAGCCAACATGCAACACCAGGTACAAGTGCCCCGGAGACAGCGTAGCAGCAATCCAAAGTCGTTCCCACATGTCATTCTAACAAATTTGTCGACCCTTGCATAAGAAACACACATTGAAACAATCATTCGAAAGCAAGAACAAGCATTGGCAAACAACGCTCCAATAAGTGCAGTGAGTTTCCTGCACAAAGCAAGCAAACGCTTAGGACGTGTGAACCATTGAGCTTGGACTTTGGAAAGTTGGAAGGCGGACCGCTCACTAAGCTGCTCGTCACTTCGACTTGAAAGAGTGGTCGGATTGGTTTTCAGCGGTCAAAACAACTTGTAAATAGTCGGATTGGCTTGTCAAAGTGGTCGGATTGGCTTGTGACGCGTCGGATTGACTTGTAGACACGTTCATTGATTGTAGCTTGCTTGGCTTGTTTTCCCGAAGCATTGCGAAAAGTGTTTCTTCTAAAAGCGGCTGCAAACTTCACCTGCCAACATCTCATGCCAACTTGTCCTTCTCATGCCAACTTTTCGAGGGTTACTTCACCTGCCAACTTCGCCTGCCGGCTTTTCGAAAGTTGTGTCACCTGCTAACTTCTCATCTCAATTTGACCTGCCAACTTCGCCTGCTAGCCTGTCGAGAGTTATGTCACCTGCCAAGGTTTCATGCCAACTTTTCGATGGTTACTTCACCAGCCAACTTGTCATGTCAACTTTTCGGGTGTCATTCCGCTGTCCTAAAAGCACAAGTTAACTTTTCGGGTGTTGCTTGTCTTGGAAGCCCGGGCCTTGGTCTTCAGGAAGTTACCATCCTTGTCTCGCTTTAGGGTAAGGACCCAGCGACCAGTGACCCAGTTCTTGACCTGAATCTTGCGTGTGTCGACCAAGTCGAACACTTCGTTATCAAGCCAAGATTTGCACTCAAGCTGCTTAGCTTCAAGGAATTGCTTCTGATAAGCCTTTCAGTGGCTGTCGCTTCCTTCCGCTTCTTGCCAATGAGTGCGGATGTGGATGAAGCCTTCAAGGATTCTTGCTTGGATGAGTACAAGACTAAGAGTGCACGGTCATCGTCGGTCATGTTCTTGCATAACTGGTCCACATGATTTGTGTATTTCTGATGAGAGAATCTGCATCGGGGCGATGGGTTGAAGGTCCCTTTCACACGTCCAAGAAGGACAGGGTTGCCTTTAATATCTCTCGGAACCGTGAAGGATTCAGTGTTCGCACAGATCTTCTGCTCAGCTGTCATGAGTGACCAATGTGTTAGAATCTTGGTCACTGCTTCAAGCCTACAGGGACATGCAAGGAAAAAAGCATACGACCGAAGCAAACTCGACACGCGCTTTTTTACTTGAGCGTTGCTTAGAAGTGCAGGCTCTGAGATGCAGGTGGAGTGACGATGCGCGTCCACTCCATCTTCCTGCATCTCATGCGGAGCCTGTCGGAATGCCCCCTGTGGTCAACATTGCGTGTTCGACCATCGCACAGGGTGTTTTACCCATGGGGTGTGAAACAACAAATAGGTGCATAGGTGTGCATGGGAGGAATGCGTCCTCCTGAAGGGGACCAGGCTGGTCCGACAGAATGCCGATGGCATTCAGCGATGTGCGACTGCGTGCACAGCCTGGGCTCAAACTGGTGTGGCCAACGAGGAATGCGTCCTCACTGCATAGGCTTAAACTGGTCCTGCGGGATCAGTAAGCCGACAACATGCTTGATGCTGGAAAGCTTGCCGACAACGCGTGTTCAGCAATCAGCTATCAGGCCTCTTTGCACAGGCTAAACGGGTCCTTGTGGAAGTTGGTGTCCACCTGGGCCGTGAAAGGGTGGGGAGGGTGGGTTCAAAAAGAACGAAAGAGGGGTCAGACCCTCAAGGCATGTCCCTTACTAAAGGGCTTGAAGCAGAAACAGCCACGCGGCCGAAGATTCAACCAAGATTAAAACACAGGGGAAAAGAAAAACCCCTAGCGTTAGAATCTTGGTCACTGCTTCAAGCCTACAGGGACATGCAAGGAAAAAAGCATACGACCGAAGCAAACTCGACACGCGCTTTTTTACTTGAGCGTTGCTTAGAAGTGCAGGCTCTGAGATGCAGGTGGAGTGACGATGCGCGTCCACTCCATCTTCCTGCATCTCACGCGGAGCCTGTCGGAATGCCCCCACTTTAGCCTCGCCCCCTCTTTAGTGCGTTTGCGATGCAGCCACGTGCTCGGGTCGCCACGGTGCGTCCGCAGGGTGAAGCGTGAGAGCTGATGCGTGAGGCCAGAAATCACGCGGCCTGAAGCGCACTCTGGCATGTGGCCGAGTCTGGAACGCGGAGGTATTACCTCTGCTGAGTTGGTCCGCCCAGATGTTGTGCTCTCCTGGGATGTGTGACGCGATCACGGACCCAGGCGGCTACAAGTTGCACAAAAACTTGTAAGGGCCATGCTGTGGTGAACAGTTTATTAACGCCTGCCTCGGAGGCCGTGTTATCTGTCCCTGTGGGCATGCAAATGCCATGCACGCTTTGTCCTTCGCAGGACCATGCGATACGCATGAGTGCTAGTTGAGCCAAGGTTTCGAAGCATGCGATGTAGCGCTGGGCTTCTTTGGTGAGGCACGGCCACTGCTCTTGGACTTCCTGGAATTGCCACGTTTCTGCGAACCAAGAAACGGAGTTGGTGGTGATGAACCAACCCCCTATGCCCACGACACTGCCCTCGGCGCATGCATCTGCGGCTGCTTTGCATGCCAGCATTGGCTTGCTTCTCAGCGGGCATGCGAGGTCTAAGTCGAAGCATTGCAGTAACCATTCTACGCTATGTTTGCTCATCTTGGACAACATGGCATGATGCTCTCAAAATCGTGGTGCTTCGCCAGCAATGATGCATGCATCCAGCACGTGGCAAGCAGATGCCCGCATCAACATAAACACGCCAGCATAGCGGGCGTTCAAGGCAGCTCAGGCCAGTACCTGAGCACGCTGACAGCCGAATACCCAACAAGTCTCGCAGCGCGCTTGATCAAACATTGCGCATTCAAAGTGAGCACGCAACCCGAGGTCCGCAACTTACGCAAACCCTCCTTGCTTTCACTGCACCCCGTGCGCTTGCGGGTATGCGATGGAGCTGGCATGCGTTCGACTGCAGACCACTCAATCCCTCAACCAAACCACCCGCTCACGATAGTAGCACGTGCCTGGCTACATTGGCTAGACGCACAAAAACTCATCCCAAAAATTCTCGCCCATGTGGGCTCCGGTAACGCATCCCCCCCTCTCTCGGAACAA